GGGCGGTGGGGGGGCCACATGGGGGGACCGGGGGCATGCATGGGGCGCGCGTGTGCATTGCATTTTGATGGTTCAGGCACACACAGTGGGCACTCGATCCGGAAAAAGTTAGCCATCACTGATATAGCCTTTATTGTCATTGTACATCATATATCATATACGGACGCGGTGGCTGAGTGGCTAAGACGCTGAGCTTGTCGATCGAAAGGTCGGCAGTTCAGAGGTTCGAATCCCCAGTGCCGCGTAACGGGGTGAGCTCCCGTTACTTGTCCCAGCTTCTGCCAACCTAGCAGTTCGAAAGCACGTCAAAAATGCAAGTAGAAAAATAGGGACCACCTTTGGTGGGAAGGGAACAGCGTTCCGTGCGCCTTTGGCGTTGAGTCATGCCGGCCACATGACCACGGAGACGTCATCGGACAGCGCTGGCTCTTCGGCTTTGAAACGGAGATGAGCACCGCCCCCTAGAGTCGGGAACGACTGGCACATACGTGCGAGGGGAACCTTTACCTTTACTTTTACCTCATATCTACAACAAAATTTGGTATTTTTGCCTGTGTTTCCACTACGCAGCCATTCTGGGTATTTCTCATGTTGCGGAGAAGACCAACGGTTTTTTTAACAGCTGTTCCCTTTTTTGATAAGATACACGTTGCGCGAAATAATTTTTTCCCCCTGGTCTTCGTAGTTCTGTTAGTGCATGTTGTTGTTGACGGTTTGATTCTTAGCAGGTTCTAAGCTAATGAAATTTAGCCCAGCTACGAATACATACACAACATTAATCAAGAATATCTACCGCAGCACAATCCAAATTTGCGGCCTGGCGAACCTGGAAGAAACGTGACAGAAATTTGTCTTCCCTTGGGTTGATAATCTGATTTTTCCCCCCCTTCTCCTACACGTAATCACTTTAATTTCTATAGGTTCTCTGTCTCGTTCATGACATTCTGAATAATCGCAGAATCGGAGCGGGAGGGCGTTCTCTGAAATTCATGCCGCAAACCTCGGATTGCGCTTTTCGGATCCTACATTAAATGATTACGGCACGATTGTTCTGATAATTAATGCAAATGAGTAACTAGTCTGGGGGGGGGGGGTTTCCCTCACCCCCCCCCAAGCAAGAGTTGGGCAGTGGGGCAATTGGCCTGCTTTAATACTTTGACTGTTTAACGGAATAGATCAAGTGTTTTGAAGACTTTTTTTCCAACAGGTAGTCAGGGGTGGGCTTCAAAAATTTTAGCAAGGGGTTTTCTGCCTGGTTGCTGGGTGGGTGTGGGCATGGTGGGCGTGGCCTAGTTGGCCTTCTGCATCACGGCGGGGCATTTTTGCCCCCCCCCGGGTTCCGGAGGCTTTTCTTGAGTCTCCAGGAGGGTGAAAACTTCCCGAACTTCTGGTAGGTCCGTTTTTCCCCGCCCCGAGCCTCCGTGTGTGCCCTTCACTTACCTGTGTCCAAAACAGGCCGCGTAGGGACTCCTGGGAGGGGAGCGGCGAGATGGGCGAGGCCAGCCAGGAGTGGGATTTGGGAGCAGGAGGAAGAGGAAGAGGGGATGGAGGAGGAGGAGGAGGAGGGGGAGGAGCAGGAGGAGGAGGGGAGGGAGGAGGAGAGGAGCAGGAGGGGGAGGGAGGAGGAGGAGCAGGAGAGGAGGAGCAGGAGGGGAGGGAGGAGCAGGAGAGGAGGAGGAGCAGGAGGAAGAGGAGGAAGGGAGGGAGAAGGAGCAGGGGGAGGAGCAGGAGCAGGGGAGGAGGAGAGAAGCAGGAGGGGGAGGGGAGGGAGGGGGAGGAACAGGAGGGGAGGAGCAGGAGGAAGAGGAGGAGGAGGGGAGGGAGGAAGAGGAGATTGGGGAGGAGGAGCAGGAAGAAGAGGAGGAGGGGAGGGAGAAGGAGGAAAAGGAGGAGGAGAAGGGGAGGTGGAGCAGGAGCAGGAGCAGGAAGGGGAGGAGCAGGATAAAGGGGGAGGGATGGAGCAGGAGGAGGAGAGGAGCAGGAGCAGGAGCAGAAGGGAGGAGGGGGGAGGGGGAGGAGAGGGGAAGAGGAGCAGAAGAAAGGGGAGGGAGGAGAAAAGGGAGGAGGAGCAGGGGGAGGGGAGGAGGAGCAGAAGGAAGGAGGAAGGGGTGGAGGGGGGAGCAGGAGCTGGAGCAGGAGGCAGAAGAGGAGGAGGGGAAGGAGGAGGAGACTGTGGAATATTACATTTCATTGCCCCACTAGGTAACATCATCATTGCTAGAAGGGGGGGTGGGGTTTTGCAGAACAGAGGAAGAGGAGGAGGAGGAGGTGGCATCTGAATACAAAATCCAGAACAATAATCAGACATGTTTTGCAAAACAGGGTAAAGGCCCCGAAAAAATGCAAATGATATTTCGGGCTCACCTTTATCATTGCCTCCTAATCAAATCTAAATACCCAGTTCTCATTTGTAACTCTTTTGTTCAGATCAAGGGCTGTATTATACGTAATATTTGGCTTCTGGCCACACATGAAATACGTCATTTTAATGTAAGGATCCCAGAAGCTGTTCATCTAATCTGTAATCCAGGATTCTGATCTCTCTCTCTTTTTTTTTTCATATAGTTGACATTCAAATTAGAAATACAAAAAAGCAGCTTAATTTTTTTTTTCTTTCCCTTTCTCTTCCTAGCTGGCCAAAACGTCTGGGACTTTATAGCATATCTATATTATACAAATGATGTTGTAGATTGAAGCAAAGGATCCGTGTGATTATACAAATTGGGCATTTATGTAAAACCAAATTACATATGTTCAAATGTACAGGCAAATCCTTCTTCCTGTAGTTTCATGAAGTGAAGGCTTGCCGTACAGAGAGCTGCAACGCAATGTGACTTAGGCAGCATCTGCCCACATGTCTTACTTACATACTACAGCCTCAGAATATTAAACACGGGATGAAAATAAACTGGTGCAAAATATATATATATATATATATATATATATATCAAGTATTTTAGACAGTAGCAATTGCTTACAAAACTAATATAAAAGGTTAAAGGTAAAAGTTCCCCTCGCACATATGTGCTGGTCGTTCCCGACTCTAGGGGGCGGTGTTCATCTCCGTTTCAAAGCCGAAGAGCCAGCGCTGTCCGAAGATGTCTCCGTGGTCATGTGGACGGCATGACTCAACACCGAAGGCGCATGGAACGCTGTTCCCTTCCCGCCAAAGGTGGTCCCTATTTTTCTACTTGCATTTTTTAACGTGCTTTCGAACTGCTAGGTTGGCAGAAGCTGGGACAAGTATCGGGAGCTCACCCCGTTATGTGGCACTAGGCATTCGAACCCCTGAACTGCCGACCTTTCGATCGACAAGCTCAGCGTCTTAGCCACTGAGCCACAGCGTCCCTCTTATAAAAGATTAGATAAACCTAAATACCGAGTTTACAGCAAAACGGAAGATTTTGTGGTCGAATATGGTGGGATTTTCACTGACACTTAAATCTTCAAAGAAGCATCTTATTTCTGCACATTTGGAATGAACAAAACAGTGCTAAGTTAAAGAGCAATTTATTCGTTCTGAAAGAAGATTGCTCAAAAATTATTTGCGTTGGAAAATAGTGTAGTATCAAGACAAATAAGAGTTTGTATTGATGACAGACGGGGATCTCTGGATTTATTTGTCAGATTTTCCAGTCTGTACCCAATTAAATTGAAGGGACGTAAGTCACAGTCAAGCTGTCCAAGTGATTTAAATGAAGCAATGTCGAACTGAATGTACTTTGTATACAGAATAACAGAGTTGGAAGGGACCTTGGAGGTCTTCTAGTCCAACCCCCTGCTAAGGCAGGAGACCTTATACCATACCAGACAAACAGCTGTTCAGTCTCTTCTTTAAAGTCCCTAGTGATGGAGCATTTGCAACTTCTGGAGTCAGGTTGTTCCACTGGTTAACTGTTCTCACTGCCAAGAAATTTCTCCTTAGTTCTAGGTTGCTTCTCTCCTTGATTAGTTTCCATCCATTGCTCCTTGTCCTGCCTTCAGGTGCTTTGGAGAATAGCTTGACTCCCTCTTCTTTGGGGCAGCCCCTCAAATATTGGAAGACTGCTATCATGTTTCTCCTTAGTCCTTCTTTTCATTAAACTCAACGTACCCAATTCCTGCAACTGTTCTTTGTATATTTTAGCCTCCAGTCCCCTAATCCTCTTTGTTGCTCTTCTCTGGACTCTTTCTAGAGTCCCAACTTCTTTTTTATATCGTAGTAACCAAGACTGAATGGAGTATTGCAAGTGTGGCCCTACCAAGACATTATAAGGTGGAACGAACACTTCGCGCAATCTTGATTCTATACCTGTTTATGCAGCCTTTGCTACTTTACATTAGAGTGATTATAAGGTGCATTTCAAATAACATGCCTCTGTATTTTGGGTTTGATAACATATATGTATATTTCCATGTAATATATTAATGCAACTTAGCTGGAAAGCAGATGGGTTAGTCAGTAAACCGGAAACCATCCTAATGAGGTGATTAAGATAAAGGTAAAGGTTCCCCTTGCACATATGTGCTAGTCGTTCCTGACTCTAGGGGGCGGTGCTCATCTCCGTTTCAAAGCTGAAGCGATGTCCGAAGACGTCTCCATGGTCATGTGGCCAGCATGACTCAATGCCGAAGGCGCATGGAACGCTGTTACCTTCCCATCAAAGGTGGTCCCTATTTTTCTACTTGCATTTTTTACCTGCTTTCGAACTGCTAGGTTGGCAGAAGCTGGGACAAAGTCACGGGAGCTCACCCCATTAACACAGCACTAGGGATTCGAACCGCTGAACTGCCGACCTTTCGATCGACCAGCTCAGCATCTTAGCCACTGAGCCACCGCGTCCCCTCATGAGGTGGTTACACACAATATAAAACAAAACTGATTAATCAGAGCAGGAAACAAAACTTTGTGTGAGCTCGGAAAAATTGCAGCACCGTCGACGCTGGAGGTAAACATCTCTTGCTAAAAGTCGATTCATTTATTTCTCGAGTCTTGTTTTTTTTTTTTCCCTCTGTTCTAGAATCCTACTCAAGAAGGAACCGCTCTTCAAGTTTTCTACAATCTGGGAACATTAAAAGTTACAATCGCGAATGTTGTGGAGGGATATTGCACAGCCTTGGAGGAGAACGTGAGCAGCGCTTTGGATTTTAAAGTTTTGACTCAACCTTCTCAAGCAGCTAGAGGTACCATGTGTTGTTGTTATTTTGCTATACTGGACAAAACAATGCTTTGTAATTTGATATATTCCCCATAAATGGGGTATTATACAGATACCGTGTTTCCCCGAAAATAAGACCGGGTCTTATATTAATTTTTGCTCCATAAGACGCATTAGGGCTTATTTTCTGGTCTTATTTGGGGGGAAATACAGTACTAAATGCATCCATCCAGCTGACAATCTTAACCGGGGCTTATTTTGGGGGGTAAGGCTTATATTATGAGCATCCTGAAAAATCAAGCTAGGTTGGATCTTATTTTCAGGGAAACAGGGTAGTCCTCAACTTAAAACCATTCGTTTAACGACAGAAGTTAGAACAGCTCCAAAAAAACAGAACACAGAACATAGAATATCAGAGTTGGAAGTTATGGAGATTCTCCATCATCCAGGTCACGTTTATTTATTTATTTATTTATTCGATTTATATGCCGCCCTTCTCCGGAGACTCAGGGCGGTTTACAATGCGTTAAGCAATAGCCTTCATACTTTTGTATAAACCTGCTTAGTAGGGCTTTTTGGCCCCCCCTGAGCGGTGTTTTTTTTTTATACAAAGTCAGCTTATTGCCCTCACAATCCGGGTCCTCATCGGCCGAAGAGGTTGCAGGAAAAAATGCTTTTAAAAGCCTCTGACGATCCCAGCTGAGCCGCGCAATCATCAGAGGCTTTTTTTTTTTTAAAGCATTTTTTCAGGCCGAAGAGGTTGTAGAAAAAATGCTTTTTAAAGTAAAAAACAAAAAAAAGCAGCCTCTGATGAGGTGGGCGGGGTAAGCGAGCGGCAAGCGGGCCGGGGACCGGTTCGGGGGCGTGGCCAGCCAATGTTATTATCGGTTCTCCGAACTGCTACAAATTTTTACTACCGGTTCGTGCGAACCGGGAGCAACCCACCAGTGGCGTGCACGTGTGCACTATGGAGCTGGGCTGGGGCGACGGCTTGTGAGTCCGCAGAGAGGGCTTTGCCCTATACCATTTCAGACAAATGGCTGCCTATCTTTTCTTAAAAGCCTCCAGTGATGGAGCAGCCACAACTTCTGGAGGCAAGCTGTTCCACTGGTTAATTGCCCTCACTGTTAGGAAGTTTCTCCTTAGTTCTAGGTTGCTTCTCTCCTTGATTCGTTTCCATCCGTTGTTTCTTGTCTTGGCTCCGGATGCTTCGGAGACCAGGTTGACCTATTCTCCAAATAGACCAAATATTCTCCAAATGAAACCATTGCCAACCATCTGAATTTTGATCAGATGACCATGGGGAATGCAGCAGTGGTCGTAAGTCTGAAAAACACTCATAAGTCACTTCTTTCACTGTCGTCATAATTTCGAACGGTCACTGAATGAACTGTCGTAAGTGGAGGATTACCTGTGCTTTAATATTTCAGCACCATTCCTTCATTCTTTCCAGATTTCAAGTCACATTAACAAGGATAGTAATAAAAAAAGTTGAAATGCAGTTCGTTTTGAGTTCTTTTTGCTGGGATTTTGATCGGGACCTCTAATTTTAGCTAATAGGATATCCTACATTATGGAGAATACATTATACCGAAACGGCTTGTAATCTGAGCCTTTAATCTGACATAAAATATTGATGAAGAAAAAGAGAAATTACACACTTTGGCATTTTTATTGCAAAAGCCGTTAAATGCAATTTCACGCTGAATTATTAATACAGGTAAAGGTGCTCGTTCTTATAATTTTAACCAGAATTTATTACTGCGTAGTGAAATCGGTGTCCGTTAACTTTGTAAGTGGGGACCAGCTAATTTATCTTAGACCAGTGATGGCTAACCTTTTTGCCATCATGTGCCAGGAAGGGGGGGGGTCGCGTGCATGCGTGCCCACACCCATAATTCTATGTGCCCCACGTCCTTGCATGCATGCATGACCCCCTCTGCTCCCCCCGCTCCTGACATGTGATGGCACGTTAGACCTGTTTTTCGCTCTCCCCAGCCTCCAGAGCCTTTGTAGGAGTCTGGGGAGGGCAAAAACTGCCTCCCCCGCCCCCCGGAGGTCCTCTGGAGGCCAGAAACAGCCCATTTGCCAACTTCCGGTAACACCGGAAGGCCCGTTTTTTGCTGTCCCCAGCCTCCAGAGCCTTTCTAGGAGTCTGGGGAGGGTTAGCAAACAGGCCATTTCTGGCCTCTGGAGGGCCTCCGGGGGGGTGGGGAAGGCCGTGTTTGCCCTCCCCAGACTCCTAGAAAGGCTCTGGAGGCTGGGGAGAGAGAAAAACAGGCCTTCCCCACCATCCCCCGAGGTCCTCCGGAGGCAGGAAACAGCCTGTTTCCTTACTTCAGGTGGGCCCAAAAGGCCCGAAAATCAGCTGGCCAGTGTGCGCATACACACCGGAGATGAGCTCGCATGCCCACCGATATGGGTATGCGTGCCACCTGTGGCACGTGTACCGTAGGTTCGCCATCACGATCTTAGACCAATATGTCTGAATGTTAGAAATGGAGAGGGCAGGGGTGGCTATTGAATGCCAGTGTAAGGATCTCTTGCACCCCATCATATACAGGTAGTCCTTGACTTGCGAACGCAATGGAGTCCAGAACTTCTGTTGCTAAGCAAGGCAGTTGTTAAGCGCGTTTCACCCCACGTTATGCCCTGTCTTGCCACGGTTGTTAAGCAAATCACTGCTGCAGTAACACAGTTGTTAAATGAATCTGGCTTCTCCATGGACTTTGCTTGTCAGCAGGTTGCAAAAGGGGATTACGTGACCCCGGGACGCTGCCGCCATCATAAATATGGGACGCTGCCACCGTCGTAACTATGTGGTTGCCAAGCATCTGAATTTTGTTCACGGGGATACTACAACAGTGTGGAAAATGGTCCCGTTGCTTTTTTTCAGCGCCCTTGTAACTTTGAACGGTCACTAAACGAATGGTTATAAATTGAGGACTACCTATAGTGAACATCGTAGCTGGCTGACAGTTAGAACAATGAATCAGTGGAACAACTTGCCTCCAGAAGTTGTGAATGCTCCAATACTGGAAGTTTTTAAGAAGTGATTGGATAACCATTTGTCTGAAGTGGTGTAGGGTTTCCTGCCTAAGCAGGGGGCTGGACTAGAAGACCTCCAAGGCCCCTTCCAACTCTGTTATTCTCTTATAATTGCAAGCAGGCCAGTGGTGAAATCCAATTCTTTTACTACCGGTTCTGTGGGCATGGCATGGTGGGCGTGGTGTGGCTTGGTGGGTGTGGTTTGGTGGGTGTGGCAGGGGAAGGATACTGCAAAATCCCCATTCCCTCCCCACTCTTGGGGGAAGGATACTGCAAAATCTCCATTCCCACCCCACTCTGGGGCCAGCCAGAGGTGGCATTTGCCGGTTCTCCGAACTGCTCAAAATTTCCGCTACCGGTTCTCCAGAACCTGCTGGATTTCACCCCATGAAGCAGGCCCGAATCGTCTGTTATTCTGTTAATGTCTTGCTTTTGATCTGCACAGCCATTTAGATGTTCAAAACGTGTGTAAGCTTTTCAAAGATGGGTTTTTGAGATGGATTAATTATATTTTTTTTTAAAAAAATCCACACATTTAGGTGGTCCCGGCCGAGCAGCTATGCCCACCCCAGGAAATACCGCAGCTTTCCGAGCAGCTCTTTGGACCAATATGGAGAAATTGATGGATCAGATTTGTGCGGCTTGTGGACAGGTATTTGGGTCGTTCAAACATCCTTTCCCTGGTTTGCAGCCTCCATAAAACATTTCCAGAACTTGGACTTCAGATGGCGTCTCTGTTGTTTTCCAGGTGCAACATCTCCAGAAGGTCTTGTCGAAGAAAAGAGATCCGGTTACCCACGTGTGTTTCATTGACGAATTGGCAAAGGTAGGATTTCTAGTTCTGCTCTCCGCCTAAAGACAGAGAGTTCTCAACTTACGCCCAAAACTGAGCCCAAAATTCCTGTTAAAGCAAGGAAGTTGCTTAAGTGAGTTTGGCCCCATTTCTTGCAACGGGGGTTCAGTGAATCGCCGCAGTTGTTTAGTGAATGGGGCGGTCATTAAATGAATCTGGTTTCTCCCCCCCCCCCAAATTGACTTTGCTTGTGGGAAGGTTACAACTGGAGATCACATGATCCAGGACCAGGGCAACTGTCATGAATACATGCCAGTCGCCAAGCATCTGGATTTTGATCTCATGCAACCACGGGGATGCTGCAACGGTCGTTAAGTGTGAGAACGGTGATCCCTTTTTTCAGTGCCGTTGTAACTTCTCTCACACTGAGAGCTTATGCACCAGAGACAAATTCCTTGTGTGTCCAATCACACTTGGCCAATAAAAAAAACTATTCTGTTTTGTTTCTATTTCTCTTCCATTTCTCTTCTGTTTCTATTTCTTTTCTGTTACTATTTCTATTTCTCTTATGTTTCTACAGTATATTCTCTTCTGTTCTTGCTCTTGTTCCGTTCCGTTCCATTCCATTCCGTATTTTCTATTCTGTTCTGTTCTGTTCCATATATTCCATCCATTCCATATTTTCGATTTGATTGGACTCGACTCGATTCTATTCTGGATCTGATTCTGATTCTGATTCTAATCTAATCTAATCTATTCTATTCTATTCTATTCTATTCTATTCTATTCTATTCTATTCTATTCTATTCTATTCTATTCTATTCCATTCCATTCCATTCCATTCCATTCCATTCCATTCCATTCCATTCCATTCCATATTTTCGATTCGATTCGATTCGATTCTACTCTACTCTACTCTACTCTACTCTACTCTACTCTACTCTACTCTACTCTATTATGGATCTGATTCTGGATTCTGATTCTATTCTATTCTATTCTATTCTATTCTATTCTATTCTATTCCATTCCATTCCATTCCATTCCATTCCATTCCATTCCATTCCATTCCATTCCATTCCATTCCATATTTTCGATTCGATTCTACTCTACTCTACTCTACTCTATTATGGATCTGATTGTGGATTCTGGATTCTATTCTATTCTATTCTATTCTATTCTATTCTATTCTATTCCATTCCATTCCATTCCATTCCATTCCATATTTTCGATTCGATTCTACTCTACTCTACTCTACTCTACTCTATTATGGATCTGATTCTGGATTCTGGATTCTGGATTCTGGATTCTGGTTCTGATTCTATTCTATTCTATTCTATTCTATTCTATTCTATTCTATTCTATTCTATTCTATTCTATTCTATTCTATTCTATTCCATTCCAAATGGTTGCAAGGCGCGAGGTCTACCTGTTCACGCTTACAAAGATATAAAATCATTTTTTAAATGATTGGTGAAGAAAGGGAAGGAATGCTTTATGACAGCCAAAGATATTACCGAGGAAGACCCAGAGCTTAAAAAAAAAAAAAAAAAAAAAAAAAAAATTGCTGGATGCTTCGAGAGGTACGGAGTGATAACCGTTGCCCAAAGATTACAGAACCCGTTTTAACTACACACCTGGTGTTCAGAAAGCGGCCTCACTCTTTTTTAACGTCGCGAGGCGAAATGAGTCAGTTTTGCTCGCCTGGTGTCACAGCGTGGTGTGCTGAAATTCAACTTGACAAGGCGGAAGATTTTCCCTGGCAGCCTTTGATGGGTAAGGAATGTTCAAGCGACATTTTCCACCTCCCGGTTTTATCTTATTTTATTTTTTTCTTCGAGTCCTGTGCAAGTGGGTTGAACAACAGATTGCAGCCACAATATGAGCTGCTGGAGGGGGTGTTTACTTTCTCTTTACACCCCCACCCCCCAATTTTTCTGGGATGACAGAAGAACAGAGACCCTCAGGAATGATTTTGGGGGTCTTTGTAAGGAAAGGACAGAGGCGTGGGGAAAAAATTAGCATCGCCTTTTCCATTCAAGCGTGACGGTTTTGGGGACAAATTGCGGTGAATGGCTGATCTGTTAAATTGTTTTATCTATAATAACTTTTTAAATTATTTTATCTATAATGAATGTATTTTATGATGACTATGATCATGATTTATCACTTGTTGCTTGTACACTGAGAGCTCCTGCCCTGGAGACAAATTCCTTGTGTGTCCAATCACACTTGGCCAATAAAGAATTCTATTCTATTCTATTCTGTTCTGTTCTGTTCTGTTCTGTTCTGTTCTGTTCTGTTCTGTTCTGTTCTGTTCTATTCTACTCCATTCCATTTCATTCCATTCCATTCCATTCCATATATTCTATTCTATGCCATGCCATGCCATGCCATATTTTCTCTTCTCTTCTCTTCTCTTCTCTTCTCTTCTCTTCTCTTCTCTTCTCTTCTCTTCTCTTCTCTTCTCTTCTCTTCTCTCCTCTCCTCTCCTCTCCTCTCCTCTCCTCTCCTCTCCTCTCCTCTCCTCTCCTCTTCCATTCCATTCCATTCCATTCCATATATTCTATTCTATGCCATGCCATGCCATGCCATATTTTCTCTTCTCTTCTCTTCTCTTCTCTTCTCTTCTCTTCTCTTCTCTTCTCTTCTCTTCTCTTCTCTTCTCTTCTCTTCTCTCCTCTCTCCTCTCCTCTCCTCTCCTCTCCTCTCCTCTCCTCTCCTCTCCTCTCCTCTCCTCTTCCATTCCATTCCATTCCATTCCATTCCATTCCATTCCATTCCATTCCATTCCATATATTCTATGCTATGCCATGCCATGCCATGCCATATTTTCTCTTCTCTTCTCTTCTCTTCTCTTCTCTTCTCTTCTCTTCTCTTCTCTTCTCTTCTCTTCTCTTCTCTTCTCTTCTCTTCTCCCCTCCCCTCCCCTCCCCTCTTTCGTTCCCTTCCTTCCCTTCCATTCCATTCCATTCCATTCCATTCCATATATTTTATGCTATGCTATGCTATGCTGTGCTATGCTATGCTATGCTATGTCACTCCATTCCATTCCATTCCATTCTATTCCATTCCATATTTTCCATTCTATTCTATTCTATTCTATTCTATTCTATTCTATTCTATTCTATTCTATTCTATTCTATTCTATTCTATTCTCAGTTAAGACAGTGCAAAAAATACCGTGTGGCTTGATGAATTGGTATTATATATATTAGTCTCTCGATTCGGCCATCTGTGTCTTGTTTGGAAATTTTTTTCAATTCCTTTGCTGTACCTGAGGCACAAATTTCTTTTATCATCTGTTGTATTCCCTTATTTTAGAAACTCATTTAAGAGCAATGGGCGAATAGTTTTCCCAAGGAACAAGAACGGTACAGGTAGTCCTCAACTTACAACACTTCTTTTAGCGACCATTCAAAGTTATCCCGGCACTGAAAAAAAGCGATGACCGTTTTTCATACCTTCACAGCATGGTGCCATGATCAAAATTCAGATCTTTGGCCAGTGACTCATATTTATGATCGTCGCATTGTCCCGGGGTGTGTGTGTGTGTCATGTGATCAGATTTTGCGATCTTCTGGCAAGCAAAGTCAACGAGGAAGCCGGACTCACTTAACAATAATGTTATTCACTTAACAAATGTAATGATTCACTTAACAATAATGTTATTCACTTAACAAATGCAACGATTCGCTTAACAATAAAGTTATTCACTTAACATATGTAACGATTCGCTTAACAATAATGTTATTCACTTAACAAATGCACCGATTCACTTAACAATAATGTTATTCACTTAACAAATGCAACGATTCACTTAACAATAATGTTATTCACTTAACAAATGCAATGATTCACTTAACAATAATGTTATTCACTTAACAAAGTAACGATTCGCTTAACAATAATGTTATTCACTTAACAAATGCAACGATTTGCTTAACAATAATGTTATTCACTTATCAAATGCACCGATTCACTTAACAATAATGTTATTCACTTAACAAATGCACCGATTCACTTAACAATAATGTTATTCACTTAACAAATGCACCGATTCACTTAACAATAATGTTATTCACTTAACAAATGTAAGGATTTGCTTAACAATAATGTTATTCACTTAACAAATGCACCGATTCACTTAACAATAATGTTATTCACTTAACAAATGCAACGATTCACTTAACAATAATGTTATTCACTTAACAAAATCAACGATTCACTTAAGCACTCTGGCAAGAAAAGTCGTAAAATGGGGCAAAACTCACGTAACCAGTGTTTCGGTTAGCAACATAAACATCGGGCTCCATTGTGATCGTAAGTCGAGGAGTATATTTCCCATCATGTGTGAGCAGAATGACTTTTCCCCATGTTTGTGAACGCAGGCGAGAGGAAAATGCAAAAACAAAACCGTGATTATCTGCCCAATTTTTAGTTTTCTCATCCACTGTTTCTTTCGGCAGAAAAGAGGATAAATTGTATGTGGATTCTTGGCGATGCTAAAATTAAACAGTGACTCTGTGACATGCCTCGCTTTCCTTAATTGTGTATTATTTTCCGAGCGCGTAGTTTATAAATTACGAAGCAGATTTTGTAGGCAAAACAATTCAGATTAACCCCAAGATTAACATCAAACCAACAATCAAGAAGTAAACAATATCCCAATCAAGGAATTGCCCAAACAAGCTAACAGTAAACAGGCCAACCCAAGAACCTCCAAGGTCACTCCAGCCAATACTGAGAGGGCAAGCAACTGGAATGTAGGCCAACCTTGAATAAATCCAAGAAAAGAAAAGTTTTAGAAGAAAACAGAATGTTTAATTCAACTACATATGCTAGTTTTCTGGCCGCTCAAGAAATAGTCAGGCACAGGGAGGGTTTTTGTGGCTCCCGGTGTTTTCTTTTCTGTGGGAAACTGGTCCAAATGGCTCTTTGAGTGTCTCTGCCCTAACAGCGTAGGATAAAGTGATTGTTTTCTCCATATTATTTTAGTAGCTTGATGTAGGCTTAATATTTTTTCCTGAGCAAAT